TGAATCAAGTATAAAATGCCCTTCTGACGGACGGCTCACCTTACACATGCCGATGCATGATCGATGAGTATCAAAAGCCCGAAACGGAACCCCGCGTTTTTCTCTGTCTCTCAGCGTATGTACATGACGTAAAGATGAGGCGACCTGGAGGGACTAGACTTTCGTCACTCTCCCGCGATGCACAGATGCTCCCGAGAGTCGTATTTCTATTGTTGACCGCTAGTAACAGCTTATTGAAACGTATAATCAATGAAGTATGCAAACAGAGGACGAAATCGTATTGTGATATCATTATGAAACAAACCATCACAGTTGTGCAATTTTGTTTACTGTAGTTTTACGACCGGATGTTCGCCCGGATCTTGCGTGACGGGTGACAGGCCAGCTGTTTCGTCGCCATCAGTGTTTGCCAAGAGCATTGCGGCGTGACAATGGACAATATTAGACGCGATTGGACTACCCATAGCTGCTTCGCGCGGGCACTTCGCACGAGCCGTCAGTCTCCCAGTTCGGAGACCGGCCGTGACGTGGGGAATCGTACTAGGTGTTCAGTTCGGCGACCCGGTCGTAAAACTACAGTATGCGCCAATACAAGGACAAATTTGCGAGAGCAAATTGTTTCAATTTCAGATGCTCTCCGGTGGCGTCTCAGCGATCCATTCACATGTCAGATTGAAGCGACATTCTTGAGAACTTTTTTCCCGTGTGGCATGACTCCTGCGTATACTTAAGCGCATCCCGACACTTTGCACAGAACAATCTTCCCTGACATGCGACCGGACCCTTCAATCAAAAATGACCGTTCGTGCTGCTTCCCGTCACAGGTTCCCTCTCATCTCTTGCACACAGATTTGCATTCCAAACGCGCGCTGGAGACTGGAGGGGACCCACATCTTCTCTTCGACGCCATTGACCAAAGAAGGCCCTCAGATGCAGATGAAAATGGAAACAGCGCCCTGTCGCCGTTCAAGCGTTACAGGAGTGAATCCAAAACCCTGAGTGTAACGGACATCACCAGTCTTACCTGGTGAGTACAGAGCCTCCAGTCACACCCGTAAGCTTAAGCCCTCCCTGCCTTAGGTGTGAGCTCAAATATGAGTACGCAATGATCTATGGCCGGCACAAAAATACCCAGAACCGGCCCACATCGTTTGTCTCGGCCGATGGCAAAATCATTCACGTCGACGGAGACGTCGCTGCAAATAACAGTGAGAGACTGAAATCTGGATCGGTGAGAGCGCCATTAGACAATACGCAGTATGCGCAGATTTGACCTCACTCTCAGATCACTCACAAAGATCTCGAGCATCTTATACGGCCAAATATGGTTGACGTACGTCCAGCAAACGAGACTCAAAAGTGGTATCTCAGGTGCGATGCCTCCCAGAGCTACTTCCCTCAGACTTCAGGAAATTGGCGCTGACGACGATTCAGGGTTGCCCAATTACTTGTATGTCTGAGTGACTTGGAGGTTTATGGTGTATGCGTAAGTGGTCTGAAACGCCGCTGATACACTCTCTCATCTGCCGATCAGAGGGAGATGCCGTGTTTTGGCATCATTCAGGGATATGTGGTCGTCGGAGTCATCGTGAGCGCTGGGCGCAACACCTAGATACGGACAGAGCTGACCTAACCTGAAAGGATGAGATTGATAACTATTGTCAAGTGGAGGGGCATATTGAAGGAAAGAACGAATCATGGCGAGGGGGTGGCCACAGCAGGCCTCCTTCGTCATACAATCCGCTGCCAGTCTCGAATTGCGCCAGGCTCGCCCATGATCTTGATGTGAACCTAACGGCTACGTCTCACGACCTCGGAACATTGCGTGCACACCTCGGATACAGTTTGAGACTGACGGACAATAAAACACGGCGCAACAACACTGTTCCATCCGACGACGATACCGCCGGCACACGCATACAACTCACCGTATACTTCATTCTTTTGACCAGAATGATGTCTCAGAAAGGCTCTTGGAGCGAGCTGCTTGGGCGCATAAACGTGGATCCGCACGCGACGCTGCCAGATTACTTCCTCGATCAAGTCTGTCCGCTCCTTAACCCCGACACTGATGAGAACATGCTGAGTGTCTCTCGAGCGCGGGTTCCCCGCACTCTCATCGGAGTTTTTGGACTGTTGGATAACACCATCCAGAAGATGGGTTCCGTCCACGTACAACGTACACTGAGAGCAGTGTATCGGTTTCGACGACACAAAGACCCTGTGACGATCGAAGTCCAAAAGGCGGTCATGCTTCAACGCACGATCGAGAAGGAGCTCATGAAAGAGGAGGGGGCCGACCAAAGTCTTGCCACAATGCTTGCAAAATACAGGGTGAGCAACGAATTTGAGTCTGTGGCGGCGGACATCAACGCGTACCCAGACGCTGACGAGGACCGACTCCTCTCATTTGCAACGGAATGTCTGAAAGGAGGCAATTCCGCCGCTCCGCAGGAGGTTATTAAGCGGTATCGCGACGAGAAGGACATCATAGGCATAAAAGAGTTTGAGGTCGACGAAGACGCGCTGGGCACTTACTTGCAACACATTTTCGAGTATTGGAACGGCGACCGCAAACCTGAAGGAGTATCGGAGAAAGATGCCAGGCGGTGCGGGTAAGCGGGACATATCACAATCGGTTGCACATACTGACAAACACTTTTGAAAACTCAGCTGGTGCGAGTACCGAGGAGACTGCGAATGGCGAGAGCTTAAGGCTAGGCAGGCCGACGAGGCATACGCAAAGAGAACTTCTTCGAGCGTGTTTTCTTTTTGAAGTCGCATTTGGCGGCCAGTGTTATGTCTCGCAGAGGTTCATCCGCGCGTTCCTTGTGATACCGCGCGGCATAGACTCACCGTGCGACAGACGGCCGACTTACCATCCCGTTGTGTCTTGCTGACGGCGTCAAAAGGTCGCACGTACATACATTTACGATATTCGTATCCACTCTCACAATTGTACAGTATTCCATACGCTAGCTAAGAAGCCGTCACAGTCAGAAATAATCTATCACAAGGATTAATAAAATGACCATGCACGCAGAGGCACTGAGACTGGGTATCATATACGGCGCCGCGCTTGATACGAGCGGTACGCCACCACCGATTGTTGCATTTAGACACTCAAGCAGCTTTCCATCGCCCGTCGTTGTTAAGTCGGATCCGGCTGTGTTGTTGAACCCATCGAGTGTGAGAACGACACTACTGCCGCGATAGTACTGCAAAGCGCTCTCGGGCTTAGGATATTCAAGCCCGGAATCGCTGAACGGCAAAGAAGAAGTCGAGGACTGAAGGTCGTCGAGATTGTACTGCGTGCAGTTGCCATGCACAGAAATAATAAGCGACAAGACCGTCTCATTGTCAGCCACGACGCGGAATGGGTCTCCGACGTTGGTGGAAGAGAATTTAGCCATCTGAAGAGGCCCCCCAGGACGCGAGCTGTTCGTGGGACTGCCGTACTTGCTACAAGTTAGCAACGCCAAGTCTTACATCAACCTTCACTTTGCCCTACGTACTTCACTATTGTTCTCACTCCACCACACGATCGGCCAGAAAAAGAAAGGAAAGTCGCGGCCGCGCACGCCAGGTGCTTGACCCGCTGATCCAGGGTATCCACTTCCGTATTGGCTACATAATCTCTTTTGTCACTGCACAGTACCAGGTGACACAGTCACTGCATGAACATACCCAGTGCCGTAGATCTGTGCGCGCGTACCTCCTCCGACCCATCTACCCGCGAAGAGGGCACCAGGTGGAATCCTGAGCCTGGTTTCGCTGCCGATACCATACGGTATCGCGCGGTACACCTTTTTAAATCCCTTTTCATCTATTACCACGGGTTCTGTATTAAACACTTCAGACATGGCGCAATAATTGTAAACAGTCCCAATGCGCACTTCCCGGATGCGAGGGTAAGGAAGAGCTCTTTCCACCAGAGCTCTTCCCACCGCTGCCCCTCCCACCTCCACCCCGACGCCTGTTCAACTTCGACTTCAAAGTTGGATTTGGACTAAGTTCTCTCATCTGAAAGCAAGCTCAGCATGCGGGGAAATGCCGAGTGCGGTCGCATACGCGCTATAGCGTACATGCACGGACATACTACAGAACGCCGTCAATTATTTGACCGTAATCGGATCCCGCTTCCAGTACGGGTAGATACCAGTAAGAGAACTAGAGAGTAAAGAGCAGAAAGACAGGAGCTATTCCACCCGGTCATTGCCCTCGATGCGGAGTGTATAAGTATTATGCTATTGTCTAAGACCCTGCGCTTGGAGCACGCGAAAGCGCAGAGGCTATGCCACATGTCGGTCATATGCGCTCAGACATTGTCTGAGGAGGGTGGTTGCATTACCATGACTCGAGAAACGAGCGCAAGTGCTTCACAGGCAGTTGGCCGCCCGCGTCATTCAGTATGTGTTGCAAGTCGGCGACGTTTGGTTGGCTCATCCCGACCGTACCTGTGTACTGTCAGTGTGAATATGGTGAAGAATCTTTCGTTTTGCAGCTTTGACACATGATCTATGCGGATTGCCGTCACATCAAAAATCCTTAGCGTCTGCGACGGAGCTATCCTTCTTGCGGCCTTTGCATCAGACACATCACGATAGGTACCAATATGGGGACTTCTTTCGATGCAACACCAGGTGTCGCTATCCGCAAGCGCAAGCGCAAACCGCGAGCGCGTATTTGCGAGTTGGCATGCGTCTTGAACTGTTCGGTGGTCTTCAAATCTTGAAATTGAGGGACGTGGTCATCGGCTCATAGTACGGTGTGATCCGCTTCAAAACAGTCTTAGGGTTGATTGATAACATTGTATAGACTCGGAACAAGGGCCAGGACTCGCGACACGTCTTGTATAGGTTGTGACCACTGATCTAGTCTACATCGGAAAATCAGCGTTGTAATTAATATTGCGCACACGTCTTTTACGATGTCTTGCATTTCGCTTGATGCGAGTCACTTTCATCAGGCCTCCCCTTCTTCGTAGAAGTGTGTGTGTCTCCCTCCGGGCACTGAGCTTTGTCCTGAACTTCTGCTCGACGGGTTTGAGAAGAAGAACTATTTGGCTCTAATTCAATCCCGTTTCCCTTGACACTGGGATATCATTGCCGTGCGGCTATATACGGTCTCGTAGCTGTCGCGACATCCACTTTGCCCGCAGCTCACTCTATATCTCACCCACCTCTCACCTCTCGCCTCTCACCTGCACTCTTCATGAATCATGCCCGAAAAAGTGACAGAGGGGCTATTAGATAGTCTTCTTAGTTCTCAAGAAGATAGCTGCTTGCTCATGCGCAACGCTGTGCTCCACGCCTTAAACTTGGGACATGTGGAAATACCAGGATACAGGATCGCCGTCCAAGTTTCTGACGGGCTCCGCTGCACTTGGGCTCTTCTCGAGGGGACGACAGACGAACCGATGAGCATAGGACCACTTGAGAACCTGCTAGTGCATGTTTCTGGTTTGAAGACAATTACCATAGGGAACAGAAAGTAAGGAATGTATAGACGGCAGATGTATCGGAGGGTTGACCGGTTCCTTGTTCAAGAATTCTCGTTCTCTGCCATGCCACGTTTGCGCGCGATGATAATCAGGGCGGGGTAGACGCTCAGCATTTTACATCATTTGAACGACAACCTGTCACTTCTGCGGGCCCGTCGCGAGCTGAACCTACCACTGGAGCCAGCACATCTGGACCTTCGATACACCATGGCCCATCTCTTCACACCATCGATAGACTGAGTCAGTACACTTTGGGCTGGTATATCGACGTAGTCGTCCTGAGTAAGACGACTAGACACATGGTAGACGTACACACCGGTCGAGAGGTTTTCAACGCGACATTCAAAGACGAGAGTGGGGTTATTGACGCAGTCGTTTTTGGTAACGGAAGCTGGTTCTCTCATCTTTATGACTGTATCGTACCAGGTAGAGTTTACCGCGTCTCTCGAGGTCGTATACAGATACCCGTATCAAGATACAACGGGAAGCCTGACTTACGACCGGCAGCCGCAGGAGGACTCAGCGAATACCAGCTGTCACTAAATGCGCAGAGCAGCGTGTGCGAGGCACGTATGAGCAGTTTTTTCTTGCGTCCGGCTCTGGATCTGAAGAGGACATTATAGGTGTCAGATAAAACCATCGACGACGTCCTACATTACCATTTTCTTGCTCTCAATCAGTTATGGGAGGTGGCCGAGAATGAGTACTGCGGCAAGTGACGCGCTCGCTCTTGCTTGGTGCGCAGTCTTACGCTCAGCCTCAGACGTTCTTTCTATGGTCAGGAGTGCGGGAAAGCCAGTTGAGGCTCTTACGAGAAAGGGGGTGAAGGTCAGATGTGCAACTTCATTAGATGTTAGCTTTATTTCCTTACAAGTTCACAGCTCCCAAAACGACAGGTCCTTGTTGTTGATTGCAAAACATATGTGGTCGAAGTGACACTGTGGGGCACCACGGCCGAGATTAACTTGTCCGATGGAGACGTCTTGGCTTTTAAACATATCAAAGTCGGCAGTTTTGGAGGTCAGTTGTCTTACTTCGAACCATGATACGGCAGCGTCATCAATCTTTAGGAAGGTCGCTACAAACAGCACGCGGAACCGTGGTCGAAGTGAACCCAAACATTCCCGCGGCGCACGACCTCAAAAGCTGGTATATGTCTCGACCAACTACTACCGTATTTACGAGCTTTTCACTAGCCTCAGCGCGCCAGCGTGCCAATCGATGTCACGTCTCTGATATCAAAACGCAGAGGTCGCTATTCATGCCAAAGGCGGACGAGTACTACCAGGTGCTAGCTACCATCATCGACGTGAAAGCCGACAGTAAGACCGTATATCCCGCGTGTGTGGAAAGTACGTGCAGAAAAAAATTGCACCAAATGGAAAGTCACTGGCGCTGCGAAGCCTGCAAAAAGATCTGTGCGAGACCCGCATACTCGTCAGTGAGCGCTCGGGGTCCATCGGATAGGTCGCTGACATTGTTCTTAGGCTCATGCTTGACTTCACAGTCGCCGATTACACAGGCAGTATACGCCTGCGAGCGTTTGACAGGGTCGCCAGGCTAGTACTCGGAGAAACCGCCGGCGCACTGGCAAACATTCGCAGCCGTGATGAAGAAGTGTTCAAACAGAGGGTCAGGGCTGCTGTCGGCTTCGAACTCGTGTTCAGCGTGATCAAAGAAGTCTCGTTTCACAAGGTCTCGCATCTTCATGTCTTGACAGTCCCTCTTTCCTGACAAGTCATTCATAGGAACAGTTACGCGTGACATACACGGCATTGGATATTTCGCATGTCGACTACAAAAAAGAATGCATGACGAACATGTGCTTTTTGGGTGACACGCAGTCAGACACAGTTTGACCGACCGACTTAGAGATACATACGACCTAGTCACGTAATAGCGCACGATGTACAGCAAAGCAATATGTTCCCTCAAGATCGACTACACGCTTACAATAGGCACAAATGGAGGCCGTCGTCGGATAAGTGAAATGATGATCTACATGCATTTGGAAAATGACATAACACACAAAGCATAAGTTGTCAAGTCATACACTGCACGATCTACTTCTTTTCCTTGCTGACACTAAGCGGAGTGTGCTATCAAGCAAGCAAGC